AAAAGGCCAAATCTGAATCTGCCTGGTGCACTCCGCTTGCTCCACCCTGATGACTCCCTGAGACCCTGCCCCACCCAACTTGCACACTGCCAGAGGCTCTTTCGGCAGCAGCCTTGGCCCGTGCTGTAGTCTTTCTTAAAAAACTCAAAAGAGCTGCATGCCCCAGATGGGCAGTCCTCACCTCAGTGTGCCCTGTGTCTTTTGCTTAGTGGCCCCAGATTCAGCACTGGTGCCAAATCTGAATCTGCATTAACCTGGTGAACACCACTTACCCTGCCCTGGTGACTCCCTGAGACCCCACCCCACCTCACCCAACTGCCCAAGTGGCTGAGCCTACGAGCAGCCAGTAGGTGGCAGCAGGCCTCAGAGTGCCCTGTGCCTTTTGCTCAGCTGCTTTAGGCCCAGTATTGGTGGCAGCTGGTTTCGGTTCACAGCGTGGCCTCTCCCATGCAACTCCAGGTCCAGCACAGTTAGCTATCAACAACAGATCTCTTTATAGCTCCTACCAGGTAACTCTGGGCAGGTCACAGGCAGTGGCTGACTTTGGCCTGCACCAGAGCCCCTCCCAAGAGACCTCAGAATCAACATACCTGATGGTTGGCTTCAGACCATAAGAGAACATCACTCAATTAGATCCACAAATGGCACACCCAAAGGGTTGTCTTGGCAGGCACCAGAGCTACTGGGACAAATCCTGCTCTGTGGGGTCAGCCCCCACACAGCAGCTCCTACGCTGTGGTCAAGGCTAATCCACACAGACAATCTCACTCACTAACTTGCCAACAGCAATCAAGGCTCAACTACATCAAAAGGGCACACAGCCCATACAAGGGATGCACCTGGCTCAGGTGATCAGGAAGACTGCCATTGGGTCACACAGGACATCTACTATGTAAGGGCCCCCTACCAAGCCTGGAGATGTAGCAGATCTACGTAATATATAGAAACAAACAGAGAGGAAGGCAAAATGAGGAGACAAACATGTCCAAAATGAAAGAACAAGAGAAAACACCAGAAAGAGAACTAAATGAAATAGAGGCATGCAATCTACCAGATACAGCGTTCTAACCACTGGTTATAAGGAAGCTCAAGGAACTTAGTGACAACTTCAATGAAGAGATAGTAAGCATACAAAAGGACATAGAAAACATAAAGAGCCAGGCAGGAATGACGAATATACAATAAATGAAGAGGACGCTGGAAGGAATCAACAGCAGATTAGATGAAGCACACAATCAAATTAGCAATTTGGAAGACAAGGAAAGACAGGAAAAAGAAAAAAGAATCCAAAAAAATGAGGATAGTTTAAGGGACCTCTGGGACAACATCAGGCGTAACAATATTCACATCGTTGGGTTACCAGAAAGAGAAGAGAGAGCAAGGGATTGAAAACCTATTTGAAGAAATAATGACTGAAAAGTTCCCTAACCTGGTTAAAGAAAGAGACATACAAGTTCAGGGAGTGTAGAGAGTCCCAAACAAGATGAGTCCAAAGAGGCCCACACCAAGACACATCATAATTAAAATGCCAAAGGTTAAAACCAAAGAGAGGATCTTAAAAGCAGCAAGAGAAAAGCAGTTAGTTACCTACAAGGGTGCTCACATAAGAGTTGTCAGCTGATTTCTCAACCAGATACCTTGCAGACCAGAATAGATTGGTATGAAATATTCACAGTGATGAAAACTAAGGACCTACAGCCATAACTATTTTACCCGGCAAGGCTATCATTTAAAATTGAAGGAGAGAGGGAGTTTCCTAGCCAAGAAAACACTAAAGGAGTTCATCATTACCAAACCAGTATTACAAGAAATGTTAAAGGGACTTNAAGGTCAAGCCACAGCTGTTTTGCAAAAAAAAAAGATCATTCTTTTCCCCTCTCTTCTACTTAAAAAGTATGTGGTTTGCCAGCATGTAGTCTTCACAAGGGTACAGTTGGAAGTGCTGTTTATAAGGATCTCCAGGGGAGATAGATGGTGTGAAGAAATCCTATTGATAGACTTCCATGGTTTCTCTATTTTTACAGGTCCAGCATGTCTGGCTTGCACCTAGTAAAGCAAGGTCGAGACCGAAAGAAAATAGACTCACAGCGAGATTTCACTGTAGCTTCTCCAGCAGAATTTGTTACTCGTTTTGGGGGGAATAAAGTGATTGAAAAGGTAAGTTATAACTTAATAAGTTTTAAATTATTTTTCCAAAGTACATGAGATTTAGTGCCTAGATTTGTTGTCTAGATTTGTTCAAAACTGATATTTAGACTTTCAGAGACCTTGCATCTTTATGCAAAATTATCCCTTCTGCCTCCCTAACATTCAATTAAAAATTTTTACTATTTTCTGTACTATGTATTAAACACTGATAATTTAGTCACAGCTAATTAAGATGAAGCAATGCTCATAAAGTTCTCTTTAAAAGATCTTATGGATTTACAGGGTTGGGCTGCACTGATTTGAGAAGGTATGAGAAATTGATTAGTTTGTGGGGCAGTGTCAGGAGAGAATGTGTCATAAGCATTGGATTTAGAGCTAAGGGAGTAGAGAATTTCAGAACAAAAAGCTTAAGCAGTTTGGCACACTGTGACTTATGGCTTCCACCAAGTATTTGAGTTGTTTAGAAATATTGAGAGAGATTACAAATATTTTTAAATGTTAGCATAATTCTTTGTCACTTTTATCTAAACCATGTGATAGCTGAGAGGATGATTTGGCTGAAATAGTTTGCAATGATTAAAAGATTAAAGGGTGGGAACCTGTAAGTATTGCTTCGGTGATGTCCTTCTGTTAGTCTTCCAACCAGTCTGTGTTACCCTTGGGGGCATGATTGCAAGACAGGTAAGGAGAGAAAGGTTTGTTTATAGAGAAGTCTCAGGATCATTGATTCTCCTACTCTTATTCTTGTGACCATTTGTTTTGAGGCAGTCTCTACAGCTCTAAGGCAGTTGGGGTTCAGCATTTTGGAGGGAGGTGATGGTTGGTGCCAGGGTTCCTATACATGTTCAGGGTTCTATGCCTTGTTGTACTACAACAGAGAATACTGTATGATACTGCACTGTTTAGTCTTCTCCATTCCTTAGTCGATAGTACATCATCCCTCTGAAGTATATCTTCTGTTCCCTAGTAATTGGTATGGTAGGATAATTCACAAACTCACAAGATTTGAGTAATTGTGAATTTTTTTTCCTTCAAGAAATGAAATTAGAAAGGAGTAAGTTTTAATTGGCATGTATTAAAGTATTTCCTCAGCTGACATTTTAAAATATCCCTTGATCATGTGGAAGCTAGTTCCTAACTGCCTAAACCAGCAATACAAATTCTTATAGAAAACCTGGCTTCTTAGAGAAAGATAGATCTACAAAATCGTCTCATCTCTATTCCTCCATCATTGCTTGCCCTGTTTACTTTTCTCTCCAATCACCCACCCCTCCCCCACCCCACTCCCAGGTTCTTATTGCCAACAATGGCATTGCAGCAGTGAAATGCATGCGATCTATCCGTCGGTGGTCTTATGAGATGTTTCGAAATGAACGTGCAATCCGATTTGTTGTCATGGTCACACCTGAAGACCTTAAAGCCAATGCAGGTGAGTTATTAGCATTAAGAAAGCATCACCCTTGAGCATAAAACATTGAATAGCACAGCCTTCAAGTAGGAGAATGGTTGCTTAGGGGGATTCCCAGACCTAAGCATTTTCAATGAAATACTTTTAAAAGGATATCTCTTTTAAAAAGTGTTAATACTAGACATATACAAGTGATTGTGATATACAGAGGGTGACAAAAAAATATATACACATTTAAAGAAAGGATACTCAATATGCGTATATACCGATAACAAAAGATGAGTACAAGTCACATTTGACTTCTGCAATTACAAGAGGTGCTCAAAGTGGTTACCATCAGCGTCCAGACACTTCTGATTACAGCAAACTACTTCTTGAGCAATGTTGACCAAAGCATCCACTTGTATACATTTTTTTTTGGCACCCCCGGTATTTAACCTCAATATAGATTCCTGGGTTCTAAGTAGAAGTAGGTAGAAATTTAACCAAAGTGTTGATTTGGGTTTTCAGGTGTATGGCTTTTCAATGTCAAGTATTTGCTAGACCACATACTTTAGCATGTGTAAGTGGAAAGGTTTGGAAGGAAATACTATTTTCCTTATGAGTCACGTTGAATTTTAGAGGATCTTAGAATTAAGATCCTTTTTCCCCTCCTCCTGAGAGAGAGAAGAGAACTCTTGGGACCCAAGTGTGTTTCACTATGCAAGCTCTTCTGCATGTTCTCTCTACTGAGAATGGTCCTGCATCTGAGAGTTGTAGATAAAGACTGTTGGTATAGCTGAGAGGTTTTGGCTAGTCTTTCCCCTCCATACTTTTAAAGTATAATCTCTCAGGTAGAGTACCCACAGATATCATTAGCTCTTTAAATAACTATATTTTAAAACCCATTTTGATCTGTATGTGCTGTCTTCATATTGAGACAGTGAAGTTAAGTTTATTCCTAAGGTATAAGGATTATTATGTTATCTTATTTAGAAATAGAAAAGGCACCAATTTATTGGAAAGTAGATTTACGACCTGAAATCACTTATAGTTACCCTTTAACATCTCTTAGCCACTTTTCATATCTGTAAAAGGAAGATCATAATGTCTAGTTACCTGGATAGTTGTAAAGATGAAATTTGTCTATAATAAATGTAAAATAACTTGTATGATTCATTTTTCTTCGTCTATTTCTTCCTGGTGCTCCTATTAATTCATTTATTCATTCACCTAGTGAACCTGGAGGCCCACATTTGAATAACATGCAACCTTGCTATAGGAAACAAGTAATTTCAATACAGTGAGGTTACTGTTATAATAGAACTATGCACAGGGTGCTATAGAATACAGAGATGAGATGTCTTAACTCTGCCCCCTGCTCTTGGGGACAGGGTTAAGAGAAAGCTTTCTCAAGATGTTATGCATGCCTAGCCAAGATTGAATAAGAATTAGGGAAGCATTTAGGAGGAAAACGAAAGTGCCCCATGGATAAAGAACAGTATATATGTAAATGTTTGAAGGCATGACACTGTAGTTTTCTGGGAATTATGGGTGGTTTGTTGAAGTACAAAATGTGATCTAGTATTTGTCGGGGAGGGCCTTGTTTAACAGTCTCTAGAATATAAACTTTATTTTTTTGGGTGTGTATGTGTATGTGTCATGGATATTAAAGGATTTGCATTTTAAATGGATTAGTTGTTTTTAACAATTCAAAAGTAGAAGAATATAATAAATGCCTTCCCATCTACCTGTCATCCAACATCAACAATTATCAACTCATGGCCAGTCCTATTTCATCTATAGTTTTACCTCCTCCCTCCTCCATACACAATTTCTGAAGCAAATCCTAGACATTATATTATTTTATTTGTAAATATTTCAGCATGTGTCTCTAAATGATACATTTTTTAACATGAATAATTAGATGGATGATTCAGGTAGCATCTCGGAAGATCCATTAGTGGAAGGCAATACTGGAGGGTATGACGAGGCTGAAAATAGAGAAGAAAGGGTTGGTTTAGAGAGATTTAGGAGGCATAATTAACAAGATTTGGTGATTAAGAAGAGTTAATAAGTACTGTTGGGTTTCTAATTTGGTTTACTAAGCCGATGCTAGTACCATCAACTAGTGCAAAATAATAGATAATATCACAAGAAGAGCAAAGTTGTTTTTAGGGCAGATTAGGTTTGGAGAACTTGTGGTACAAGCAGAATCTATAAATCCTACAAAAAATTGAGTATATCCTTCCAGAACTTAGAAATAATGAAAAGAGATTAAGAGTACATTATTAGCACATATGTGGTATTTGACACTACCTCCTGAAAGAGCAGATACAAAATGAGAAGAAGTCTAAGGATGAAATTTTATAAAAAACTAGAATTTAAGGATAGATTCAGGAAGATGGGCCCATAGACAATGCTGAGAAGAAATGATCAGAAAGATTGAAGAAACAGAAGAGAAAAGCAAAGAGAAAAGAGAATTTCAATAAGGAAGAGTCAAATGTATTAGCATCCAATAAAATAAGAATAAAAACCAGTCCAGCAATTAGGAAATCATTGCAAGAATAGNGTATATACTCTGCTATATATAATATTTCAACTTATTGTATATTAATCGTATAGCTAGACATTTGACTAAGGTCTCCAATTATTTCTAATAATTTGTCTGCAGAATCTTTTGTTTTCTATGTAAATGATCATATCATTCATTATTTGTGAATAATGACAGTTCCTCCTCTGCAATCTTGATGCCTCTAATTTTTTTTCCATTTTATTGCACTTGCTAGGAAATCTGAGTTTTTTCCATTTATGGATTTTCTAAAATTAAACCATCCTTGAACATGTGGGACAAACTCAACTTGGTCATGAGTAACATTAAATTAGTAACATTTTTTATTAATATTTTGCCCATCCTTGGACCAATACCTTACTATTTAGAATATTTTGTTTAGGGGTTTTGAATATGTAGTCATGAGTGAAGTGGACCTGGCCTTTCACCTTCATGTAACATCTGTGTCTAGTTTTGGTATCAGTTTTACGGTAGCTGGGGAGTTTTACTTCCTTTTCTATTGTCTGGAAGTTTGTTAGACTACTGCCCTTGACAGCTTGATAGAACTTGTCTTTTAAAACCACCTAAACCTGGTATTTTCTTTGTGGGAAGATTTTAATCATACTTTTTTATTTTGAAAAGATAAATTACTGCAGTGTTAAGGTTAGAGTGTAGGAGAAAGGAAGAATAGATAGGAATAGAAGAAAACAGCTGTCTATGAAACCGTGTATAAAGGATCTTATTTATATCCATTATCTTATTTAATCCTCAAAATACCCTTTCAAAGGCTCTATCAGTCAAGGTCCAGCCAAGGGAAGAGAAACTGCATTACATATTATAAACAGGGCATTCAGTAGTGAGAATTGGTTGCTTAGGTGTTAGAAGAATAAAAGAACAATAAAGGGATGCTGAGGTAACCCAGAGTTAATACCTGTAGAAAGCAGTTACCATCTGTCAGGCTGGGAGAACGAAAAGGAAACGGTAGGAGCTTGGAGGAGGGCCCCTGAGGACTGGTGGTGCTTGGACCTCTGGGAGTAAGCTTTGAGTAGCTGGTGCTCAGATCCCTGAGAAGACCTGGCCTGACAGGTGATTGATGGGCCCAGGCAGCGTAGCCCAGAGGATGAGTGAACATGACAAGGCGGCACTCTGACTGCCAAGGAGCCACAGCTGCTCTACCTGCTACCTCTAAGGGAATGCATCGAGGCTCTTCCCGGAAGTGTCCAAAGATGCTAGAAGCTGGAATGAGCTCTCTATTACTGAGGAGCAATGTTGATAATAACTACAAAACAAGAAAGAAGTCTCTCTTCTTACCCTTCTCTCTTCCCACTGACAGAAATGAACAGTTTTGCACAGGTTTAGCCCTGTTGTCACAGAGCAGAACTTAAAAGGGTGGGCTTGGAGCGGAGAGACAGTAAGTAAATAACTAGAACAGTGGATACTATGCATATTTTTCAAAGAGAAAACTAAAGCTGAGCAAGGTTAAATTATTTGCTAAAGATCATTGGAGCTATTAAGTAGACAGATCTGGAATTTAAACTCAGGCCACTGCTTTATTTCATCTAATCTAAAACACCATCGACTGTAGAGGCATCGTTATTGACTGTACCACTGAGGAAAAAAAGCGCTGCCAATTAAATAAATCCCACCATCAGTTGTAAGATACATACCAATCTCAGAGATTTTTTTTTTGTTAAAGTTAAAATTAAGGAGGAATCTTAAAATCAATGAAATATGGTATATTATGCTGCCTTGTAAAGAATCTGGTTTTGGAATTGTTGATTTTGAAACGCTATGGGATACACAAGTAAAATATTTAGTAGACAGTTAAAAATGTGCAGTTATATATAGCTCATCAGAAAGATGGGAGCTTGAGATGGAAAGGTAAAGGTTGTCCATATACCAGAATCATGATCCAGAAACAGTCTTGCTAACGTGTTTTTAGCTATAACAATCTCTCTGGAGCCTTTTATACCATCTCATTTCATTCCAACCTTTGCCTATCTCTTTGTGATGGCATTTGTTGGTAAACCTTAATATCATTTATTATTCAGAAACGCTTATTTTTCCTTAAATTTTCACATGCAAAGATTGTTCTTTTTCATCTTTTCTTATGGCAGAATAGTATTCCATTGTGTATATATACCGCATCTCTTCTTCCAATCATCTATTGAAGGACACTGGTTGTTACCATGTCTTGACCACCCGTAAATAAAGCTGCAATGAATATCAGAGCACATATACCTTTACGGTTAAATGTTTTCAGATTTTTTGGGTAGATACCCAAGAGAGGGATCGCTGGGTCATATAGTAATTCTATTCTTAATTTTTTAAGGAACCGCCACACTGCCTTCCATAGTGGCTGCACCAATCTGCATTCCCACCAACAGTGTATGAGGGTTCCTTTTTCTCCACAGCCTCTCCAGTACTTGCTGTTATTTGTCTTGTTGATGATAGCCATTCTAACTGGTGTGAAGTGATAACACACAACTTG